GGGTCGCTGGTGCACTGCGCCTGCGCACGCCTCCCGGAGGAGTTCGCAGCGAGGGGCGGAGCTTGGCCCGCCAGTAACTCGGTCTCCAGGCACCGGGAATAACAGAAGCTAGCTGAGAGCGCCTGCGCGACCGTCGGTTGAGGGGGAGGTTGGGTCTGGGAAACTAGGCCCTGGGGTTTTCCCTGAGCAGGAGCGGTGCCCGAGGGCCTCAGGTACGCAGAAGGGCAGGGAGACAGAGGGTCAGCACCTCCTAAGGGCCCGAAGGGCAGGAGAGAGAGAGGACTTGCCCCAGAGGCGGAGTCCGTAGTGGGGGCGCCCCAGTTGACCCTTCGGGACAGAACGTGACTTCAGCCTTAAGGATCTAAAACCGGCTGCAGCCAGGTCAGGTGGCCCTCAACGCTCAGGTTACAAAACTTTTACCGTCTGCGCCACGGGGACTCCTGGGATGAGGGTTTGACAGCCAGGCACCTGCTCCAGGCCCTAGCAGCCTCTGTGCTCTTTTGAATCAAGCACGGTTCTAGCAGGAGGGAAGCCCTGAGAGCTCTTTGTGCCAGTCACTACCTCTGGGCCACAGCTTGCTCACCTGTAAAATGGTGAGGCTGGACTCGGACGGAACCCTTCAGTTTACAGGTGAAGAAACGGGGGCCAGCAAGGGAGAAGTCGCTTGTCCTGTTACAGGCCTAAAACCTGACTTTCAATCCGATGCTCTTTCCACTTACTATAGAGTATACTGTGCGTGGCAGAGGCTGGTGCTGGAGGAGAGGAAAGCTAGGTGGCAGGAACACCTGTAGCACCTCCGTTTTTCTACCCTCAGGGCCTAACACAGTGTCTTGTGCATAGTAATCACTCACCAAATGGTTTTTGAAGGGAAGCTTTGGCAGATCCAGCACCACTGTCCCCAGAAAAGTTTAAGGAAATGTGGGCAGGGCAAATGTAGAAATAGTTTGCTTTAGCAGACGAGAGTGAACCTCAGACAAACTCTTCGCATGTATCTGGTTTAAATCTCCCGTAGGCATCAGTCCAGGCCCTGAATGGCTGGTCTCCAGCGGTTGGCATCACATCTGCCTGTGGGCGTTATGCTTCCACATAATACAACAGAAGCTCCAGGGCCCCACTCAGCCAAGCAAGACTCTTACGAACAAAGTGACTCTTCCCAGCAGTCCTTGAAGGGGCACCTGAAGAATAATTTCCAGAAGCAGCTTTTGAGCAACAAAGAGTTGACTCTGGATAAAGTCCATACTCACCCCAAATGGAACACCCACACAAAAGCCCGGAGCTACTCCTATCCCCACTGTACTGGAATCAGCCACCAAGATGCAGGAAGTGATTTCCAGGGCCAAGGAAATGGTTTGTTTTACTCATCAGGCACTCAATCCTGGTATCCCAAAGCCAATAACCAGGACTTTATCCCCTTTACGAAGAAACGAGTTGGAGTGGACCGGGCGTACCCACTGAAACCCGTGGTCCACAGGAAGTCGTGCAGTACAGGTGAGTCTGGCACTGATGGGGACCAGAATGTCTACCCAAGGCCCCCTGAACTGAGAGAGTTTTCATCCAGGAACTTTGATGTGAGGAACCAGATCAACTTTTCTGTGGTTGATCCTGTTCTTGCTGCCATGCAGGCGGAGAAGGCCTTGGCAAACTTGGACAGGATGGAGTGGGTGCAGATCCGAAGACTAGAAGCTGCAGGGGAGAGCTTAGAGGAGGAAATCCGAAGAAAGCAGATTCTCCTGAGGGGAAAGCTGAAGAAGACAGAGGAGGAACTCAGAAGGATCCAGACGCAAAAGGAACAGGCCAAGGAAAATGAAAACAGAGAGCTACAGAAAATTATATTCCCCAGGAGCAGAGTTAAAGGTAATAACAGCAACACCACGCACAAAACTGTCTTCTCCCCAGAATTTGATTTTGAGGAAGAATTTAGTAGAGACAGGAGAGAGGATGAAACTTGGGGACGGTCTCAACAAAATTCGAGTCCATTCCAGCTCTCTGATTATAGAATCCAGAGACTCAAAAGGGAAAGGCTGGTAGCAAGCAATAACAAAATTCGAGACCGAGTCTCAGAGCCGTCGATGGAGAAGTTCTCCCCGCCTTCAGAAACACCAGGCGGTGCTTTGCAGGGATCTGCCAGAAATTCCAGCCTGTCCATGGCACCAGACTCCTCAGGTTCCAGCGGCTCCACTGAAGAGCCACAACTGGGTGAGTGCAGCCACTGTGGGCGAAAATTCCTCTTGTTCAGGCTGGAGAGACACTCCAACATCTGCAGCAGGATGCAGGGTTCCAAGAGGAAAGTGTTTGACTCCTCCAGGGCCCGGGCTAAGGGCACAGAACTAGAGCAGTACTTGAACTGGAAGGGGCCAGCTTCAGCCAAGGTAACAAGAGCCTTATGGATGTGACTTGGTGTGGGGATCATTGTAGGGGTCTGTTTTGTCATCATCAGTTTTCTTTAGGGAAAATTCATGTGTCATGTAGGAAGAATTGACGTCTAGAATTAACATTTCTTGATTACTACTGTATGCCAGCATTGTGATGGGAACTTTGCATGTGATCCTCACATTTATCTCTCATTTTATCAGTTCAAAAATCAAGACTTGGACAGGCTAAGTAACTTGCTTGAGGTCACAAACAGCTTTAAGTGGCAGAGTCAGCATATAAATCTTGGTTAGAATGACTAAAAAATCTAGACCAAGAATTTGTGTCCTTTGGATTATAAAAGTAATAAAAGTTTACTGTAGAAAATTTAAAAGACACAAAAAATCTAAAGAAAAAAAATGCAGGCTTTTGTCACCTGGAGAGAACGCCTCACTCTTTGCAATGTATTCTGCCACCTCCCAAGACTAGAATCTGTGACCATTCCTTTAACTATGTAGTCTGTTAAGATTAGCTCAGTGTTGGCGGGCGCGGTGGCTCACGCCTGTAATCCCAGCACTTTGGGAGGCTGAGGTGGGTGGATCACGAGGTCAGGAGATCGAGACCATCCTGGCTAACACAGTGAAACCCCATGTCTACTAAAAATGCAAAAAAATTAGCCGGGCATGGTGGCGGGCGCCTGTAGTCCCAGCTACACGGGAGACTGAGGCAGGAGAATGGCATGAACCCAGGAGGCGGAGCTTGAAGTGAGCTGAGATCGCACCACTGCACTCCAGCCTGGGCGACAGAGCAAGACTCCATCTCAAAAAAAAAAAAAAAAAAAAAAAAAAAGATCAGTGTTGACATAGCTTCTTCGTAAATAGATGAAACACAATTAAGTTTGGAATTCTTTTTCTCCCCATTTAGAACGTAAACACCTTGAAGGTAAAAAGGACTTTCTTTCTGGTTATCTAACAAACCATGCCCTTGCCAATTATTTCTCACTTTAGAAAAACCAGGTTGTAAAAAGTAAGGGCTTCGTGACACTTACATGATAAATTTAGGTGAACTTCATAGGCACATTTGGACACATCTGGAGAAGATTATCTCATAAATGAATGACATGTCAAGGTTTTGCCACTTGGTTTATAAAATGGTTATTTCTCAAGGTGTGGCACACTGACAAGCTTTATTTTAGTAGTTTTAGTGTTTAGTGTTTCAGTGTTATATTAGGAAAATATAACAATATATTAAGCCCCTGATTTCCAGGGATTGTAAATTTACAGAAAAATATTAATTAATTATAAGGATGAAGTGAAAGTACAGATGATTGAAGTTTGAGAAAGTGTAGACCGTATGATCTCAGAGGCCCTGTCTAGTTCTAATATTCCAGAAAAATAAGAGAGTGTCATTCTGTTTTCATTTCTTCCCAACCCTCCCTCCACTGTGCTGGCACCTCTTGTCCATTGGGACCTTACAGTTTCTGATATTTGCTGGAGCCTTTAAAAATTCACATTTATATGATGGTTGTTAGAAGAAATTGTTTACAATTAGAGTTCTTTTTTTCAGTACAGTTTGGGGAAATCACAAGGAAGTCCCATCCATGTTCAGAGATAATCTCCCTGAAATCTAGTTTCCAAAGAAGAAATCAACATTTTGCTCTTGCAGAGAATAATGTGATGGCCACTCACTGTTTTTTCCTGTTTTCTTTCAGTTCAACCCAATAATCCACTGGGAATTCACTCTGTCCCACTGTAGCAATTTATTTTTGGTCAGAGCCTAAAATAATCTTGTGTTTCTTAAATTCGTAAATACAGTTATGGTGAAGCAAAATAATTAGGTTCCTGAGATCAGATGCTCCAGCTTTATGGCAACTAGTTTAGGGGAATGTGTGACATTGAGGACACCAAGACAGAAGGGACCTAGACTAAGATGCACCCGCACCACCCTGGTAATGTCTCAAATCTTATTCCACAGTGCTGTGCCTTTGGAAGCTGAGTGGTTGTACCTTCCTGTCATTCCTATAGAGTACTCAAGAACAGGTGATTTTCCTGGTATCCTTTAATCTTCACGTAATTTCCAGCAGACGTACACCCCGTCTCTCTCCTGGACTGTAAGCATTTTTGAGGACAGGGAACATATCTTTGTGCTTTGTGCTTAATAAGTGTTAACTGAATAGAATTTCAGTACAATGAGGAATAAAATTGAGGAATTAGAGTATAAGAAGTAAATTACTAAAGTATCTCATACACTTGAGGAACGTTCCCCTGATCAAATTCTTTGAGACAGAGTCTCACTCTGTTGCCCAGGCTGGAGTGCAGTGGCGCGATCTCGGCTCACTGCAGCCTCCACCTGCTGGATTCAAGGAATTCTCTGTCTCAGTCTCCTGAGTAGCTGGGATTACAGGTGCCCATCACTACACCGGCTAATTTGTATGTTTAGTAGAGACGGGGTTTCACCATCTTGGCCAGGCTGGTCTTGAACTCCTGACCTTGTGATCCACGCGCCTCGGCCTCCGAAAATGTTGGGATTACATGCATGAGCCACCGTGCCTGGCCTTCGAATCTTTTAAAGGTTCCTGGTTACCATCACTAACACTCTCTTGCCTTCTTGTCTGTTTCAGCAGGAGACTTTCCGGAAGGATCCTTTCTTTTCCTTCAATAGTCTCTCTTCCTATTATTCATCATTAACAATGCCAGATCACCAAGAGCTGTTTGTCTTTTTCTCTTTTAAAAATTTAATAGTGTTTGCATGCATTTACAAAATCATGTAGTACTGACTGACCTATACTGGAGCCCCTAATTCAGCCCCCGGAGGCAGCCTTCAGTTCTGTTAGATGGTTCTTCTGGCCTGCCTTTCTATATTTCTAAATAATATGTTTATTTTCTTGATTTATCAATTTTCTACATTACCTTTTTGTTTTCTTTTTTTCTTTTTTTCGAGACGGAGTCTCTGTCGCCCAGGCTGGAGTGCAGTGGCTTGATCTTGGCTTGCTGCAACCTCCATCTCCCAAGTTCAAGCAATTCTTGTGCCTCAGCCTCCTAAGTAGCTGGGATTACAGGCGCCCGTCACCACGCCCGGCTAATTTTTGTATTTTTAGTACAGACAGGGTTTCACCATGTTGGCCATCTTGGTCCTGAACTCTTAACCTCAAGTCATCTGCCCACCTCAGCCTCCCAGAGTGCTGGGATTACAGGCGTGAGCCACAATGCCTGGTCTACCTGGTAACTTCTTACGGAAGCTGGGAGTGAAATTCTCTTTCATATTCCCTCTCTCCTACTGTTGTCCTTCTCTTACCCTTCCACTGTAGTTGAATCACAATTTTTGGTTAAAAGAAGTTAGCTTTCACATTGTAATGATCATGTACATTTTGTTCATTAATGAGTGAACAAATTCTGTCTCTGCCCACATGTACCTAGAGTTAATAATGGATGTATGTTTTCATTTCCTTCATTTTCTACATACCTGTCTTTTTTTTCCCCCACAATGATCCATCTGATATCAGACATCTGTTAACATTTTTATAATGCTCAAACACCTCTCATAATCTATCAGTTTGATTTTTTAATTCTGAAAACCTCCCTTCCACCACTCTGATCCCTTCTACTCCAGCCTGGACTGGTTATTCTCTAGGCCTGGTGCAAACCCATTGTCTTGGGACTTCTCTTTGCTTCTCTTCTTTGTTGGGTCCCGTTTCCAGCATCATGTCTTCTTTGTTCTTGCATTACTCCTTCCTTTGCTGAAACTTACTAAGAAAGGTGCACAGCAGGTATACTGTCTTGGAATGAATGACACTATCTGTGTAACAGGCCCCCATTTGATGCTTCGGCTAGGTACAGAATTCTAGGAGGAAAATGATTATCTGTTAGAACTTTTAAGGTATTTCCCACTAGCTCGTAGCATCCAGTGTATTGTTGAGAAATCTAATGCCATTTCGATTCCTGTTTCATTACAAGAAACCTTTTTTTTTTTAAAGGCTACGGGATTCTCTATTTATTTTGAAATTCTGAAACTTTACAATAATTGTGCTGGATACTTGGTAAGCCATTTCAGTCTCAAAATGTGTGACCTTTAATTCTAGGAATGTTAATTGTATTATTTCCTTAATAATCTTCTCCTCTCCAGGTGCTCTGGCTCACGATTATAATCCCAGCACTTTGGGAGGCTGAGGCAGGTGGATCACCTGAGGTCAGGTGTTCGAGACCAGCCTGACCAATATGGTGAAACCCCGTCTCTGCTAAAAATACAAAAATTAGCCGGGTGTGGTGGCGCACGCCTGTAGTCCCAGCTACTTGGGAGGCTGAGATAGGAGAATCGCTTGAATCCAGGAGGCTGAGGTTGCAGTGAGCCAAGATTGTGCCACTGCACTCCAGCCTGGGCAACAGAGCGAGACTCCATCTCAAAAATAATAAAATAATAATAATAATAATAATAATAATAATTTCTCCTTGTGCTTTCTCTGCTCCTTCTGGAACTCTTACTGGTCACATGTTGGACTTCCAGGATTAACTTTCTAATTTTCTAATCTTTTCTTTTTACTTTCCATCCTCATCTGTTTTTCCCATTCTGAGAAATTTTCTTGACATTAGTTTACAACATTTCTATTTATTTATTTATTTTTTGAGACAGGGTCTTGCTCTGTTGCCCTGGTTGGAGTGCAGTGGCACGATCTTGGCTCACTGCAACCTCTGCCTTCTGGGTTCAAGCAATTCTTCTGCCTCAGCCTCCTGAGTAGCTAGGACTACAGGCGTGTGCCACCACGCCTGGCTAATTTTGTGTATTTTTAGTAGAGACGGAATTTAACTGTGTTAGCCAGGATGGTCTTGATCTCCTGACCTCGTGATCTGCCCACGTCGGCCTCCCAAAGTGCTGGGATTATAGGCATGAGTCACCGCGCCCGTCCTCTATTTAAATAATTTTTATTTTTAGCTATCAAAGTTTTGATTTATAATCTTTCTGGTTCTCTGGTTGTCTTTTTTCATAGTATACTCTTCTTGTTTTATGGACATAATCTCTTCTGATACTCATTTTGTTGATATGGTCTCATGTTAAAAAAAAAGTTTTCTTCTGCCTCCTGCCTTGTTGCTGCTTCCTAGGTTTTTGTTTGTGGACTTTCTGGGCTCTTTTTCTTGTTAGAGCTTTTAGTAAATATCTGATGATTCCTGGCTGTCCTTTCATATTTAAGCTTAAGTGGGGCTTGTTGACTAAGGATCTTCATATTAAAGTTACCAAATAGTGAGTCTTTTAATTAGTGTCTCCCAAGGTCAGTATCTGAAGGCTTTTCTTTGGACTGCTCCGTGTATCCAGAGAACCCCTCTTTTTCCTATGAGGATGTCAATCTGCTTGGTACTCTGGGGGCTGAGCAGGGGAAGGAGGCTGACAGTTCCATAATTTGGTATGTACACTTGTACTTAATCCCCATTTTCAGCCCCAAGATTAACCCGGTTCCACCGTCTGGATTTCCTGAGTCAGAAGTCTGTCTGGTTCAATTTCTCCAGAGAATAAATCCTTGCTCTTCTGTGAGTGTGCCTGGGTGTTGGACACTTGGATGCGTAAGGTGGGAGGAGCCGTGGGGTCCTGCTTGTTTTCAGTCCTGTACCTCCTTACTTTCCACTATCTGGTACTTCCAAGCACTGAACCTCTCCGGATTCTGTTGGGAAAGTGGCTTGCCTCTCAGCAGTACCTCCTTTGCAGGCCCTTGGTTTACCTCAACGCTGGCAAGTCAGTTACCACTGTTGCTCCTTTCCTGTTCTTTGACCTTGCTGATTAGTACCCTTTTCATTTCTTACTGTTATTCTAAAAGAGACTCAGGAAGGAGATAGGTGCCAAGTTGAATGATCAGTCTCCCTTTTACATTACAGGCTGAACCTCCTCAGAAGAACAACTGGAGACAGAAGCACGAATCTTTTATCCATACGCTCCGCCAGGCTCGAGAGGTCCAGCAGGTAACTGCCAAAGGTGAAAACCGTTCACACTTGCCTCCCATCCTGCCTGCAGAAAACCCGGACTACATTCAGTGTCCTCACTGTAGCCACCACTTTGCTCCCAAGGTGGCTGAGCAACACATTCCCAAGTGTAAGACCATCAAGAACCGTCCTCCACCTCCAAGGAAGCATTATAGTTGAGCAGACAACAATGGAAACTTTTGGATAGGTCAGAAAGCTCTGCTTCTCTTCAGCAGTAAATGGGAGTAGAATTTGATGCAAAGCAGAGAGAAATCAAACAGCTCCCAGATCTGCCTGCAGAGTTAAAGTCTGTGAGGAGAGAGCCACTGCTAAGCAGCAGGAGGCAGAAGGAAGCCCCAGCTTCCCACTAAATTACAACCTTGGGCTGGTAAGCTTTATGTTATTGCCCTCAGAATTGACGGGTGAAGACACTGAAGAGTCATGAGCAGGCTCCATTAAAGCTCTCTTCTTGCATGCCTGACTTGTGGTTTGTGCTAGTGAAGTGCCTGCATCTGGTTGTGCCTTCCTGTCACTGCATGTATGTTCAGAGTTCCTGTTAACTCTTGCTTTTGTAGAAGCTGGAGTTATTAGGATGTGTTGGAGTCAGAGGGGCATGATCACCCAGATGGTAACTCTTATGAAAGATAATATAATTTTGCTGTAAGGCATTATTAATGGAAATCTATCCTTGGTCTCCCTGGTGCATGATCCTGGCCAAAAACCAATACAAGTATGTAAGGTTAAGGCACCAATGTCTCCTAAACCTTCCCTATGGTGTACTGTGTAATAAAGGAAAGATCTTTATGTACTTTATAGGGTAGGGATGGGTGTTGGGGGGAAACACATTATACTTCTGCTTGTTCTTTTCTAATGGGTTTCATATGTTAAGAAAGAAACCTCCATTTTAGCTGTTAATAGCACTCTACTTTCAAATCAGTTTGGCTAAATGACTGTTTAGAGGCAGCAAAATCTACCATCAAAGTAAGCTGAGATAGGCTGGGCATGGTGGCTCATTCCTATAATCCCAGCACCTTGGGAGGCTGAAGTGAGGATTGCTTGAGGCCAGGAGTTCAACAGCAGCCTCGACAACAAAGCAAGAGCCCGTCTCAAAACAAAACAAAGCTGGGACATTGCACAGTGTCACATGCCCTTGGCAATTATAGCATAGTCAACTTCTATTTGAGAGAGTAAACTCTGAAGGGAAAGGGATCAAATCTTTTTAGTTTTCTCTGTGTAGAATATTGCCTAACACAAGTTAGACCTCAATTAATGAGGTCTGGAGATTAAAAATTAAACAAGGTGAATGAGTCCTAGACTAGTGAAATGAGAGAACTGATAATGTCTGCGAGAGTATTATCAATTCAAATAGGAGTGAAGTTAGCACAACAGAGAAATCCTAGGATTACTGTTCTGTATTACTCAAATTGTTAGTTTAAAATACTGGAGAAAAACTGCTCAATTTGAGCTAGGCAACAGGGCTAGACAGACAACAAAATCCTATTTTACTAAATAACAAATGGCCACTCACTCCTGCTCCATTTCCTCTGCAGCTTCTGCTGAGTTGCTGGGCTAACAGATCAGACCAATTTGAAATGTGAGTTAAGGCTTTAGCGGTGAAGCTGCAGGACACAGGCTGGGAAAAAAGTCCTATATATTTAAAAAGGAGCACATATTTCTTTGCACCCTTTTTAATTGTTCCAAAGGAAAGGAGGTATCACATAATAAAGCTTTATGGGTAGCCCCTTAAGGAAACCTCACACAGAGATAATGGATATTTAACCTAATAGGTACATTCCCTAGGCAAGTTCAATGAAATGTACACTTTAAGTGGGAATGTAAACTAGTACATTGCAATAGATGGCAAGAACAAGCTGTGGCCAAGGTCACAAAATGGCAACATGTGGACTGCTTTGCTCCACAGATGTTTTATTTAGCTGGCCTAGTATTCACAATATGATCCGACATTTAAAAACTGGGATATGGAACATCTCTTGAAAAACTGGAAGTTCTGGAAACACTGGGCCAGCAACCTGCATGGCACAAATTGGGTGGGGTTTAGAATCAGATGGATGCTCCTTCAGATGGGAATGGTAGCACCAGACCACCGCAGTCTCACCTGACCTGCTTCACTTGTTTACTTTATCTGCCTGGTACCACAGGCTCCTGGATTCGGGATCCCTGGATGTTAGTAAGGTCATAGATCAGGGCCCTCCAGAGAGAACAAATGTTGTTATATGTGGGGAGTGCTTTCTATAGACAAGGAAGCAGTTATTCGCTCTCATTTTGCTAAAGAAATAAAACAGTAGTCAATGCCCTAGTGTTCCCTTTAATCTCTACATGTTTAGGCCTTGGTTATATCAGAAATATCTTTCAAGGCCGAGCACAGTGGCTCATGCCTGTAATCCCAGCACTTTGGGAGGCCAAAGTGGGCAGATCATGAGGTCAAGAGATCGAGACCATCCTGGCCAACATGGTGAAACCCCGTCTCTACTAAAAATACAAAAATCAGCTGTGTGTGGTGGTGTACGCCTGTAGTCCCAACTACTCGAGAGGCTGAGGCAGGAGAATTGCTTGAACCCAGGAGGCAGAGGTTGCAGTGAGCTGAGATCGCGCCATTGCACTCCAGCCTGGTGACCTAGTGAGACTCCATCTCAAAAAAAAAAAAAAAAAAAAAAAAAAGAAATATCTTTCATCTTTTAAATTTAGCTTGATCTGGTCTCTGGAAAGAGGTAAGAACCTTTTTTTAAAAAAATCTAAATCTCTTCCCGGATAGCTCAGAGGATGACAGTATATAAATGCATGCTGCTTCTTAATGTCTGTATTTTATACTACTTTATCCAATAAATGTTTAGTGCAAGTAAACATTATAAATTCTGAAGTTCATAAGGTTACACCATGGGAGAAATTTCATGGGGAAACTCACATGGAAACGAATTTCATTAAAAATGTATACAGACGTGCCGAGACAGTATTTCTTTTTTATTTTATTTTTTTGAGATGGAGTCTCGCTCTTGTTGCCCAGGCTGGAGTGCAGTGGAGCGATCTTGGCTCACTGCAAGCTCCGCCTCCCAGGTTCATGCCACTCTCCTGCCTCAGCCTCCCTAGTAGCTGGGACTACAGGCGCCCGCCACCATGCCCAGCTAATTTTTTGTATTTTTAGTAGAGACGGGGTTTCACCGTGTTAGCCAGGATGGTCTCTATCTCCTGACCTGCCTGCCTCAGCCTCCCGAAGTGCTGGGATTACAGGCATGAACCACCATGCCCGGCCTGCCGAGATAGTTTTTCTTTTTTTTTTTTTTTGAGATGGAGTCTTGCTCTGTAGCCCAGGCTGGAGTGCAGTGGCGTGATCTCAGCTCACTGCAAACTCTGCCTCCTGGGTTCACACCTTTCTCCTGCCTCAGCTTCCCGAGTAGCTGGGACTACAGGTGCCCGCCACAACACCCGGCTAATTGTTTTGTATTTTTAGTAGAGACGGGGTTTCACTGTGCTAGCCAGGATGGTCTCTATCTCCTGACCTCGTGATCCGCCCGTCTCGGCCTCCTGAAGTGCTGGGATTACAGGCGTGAGCCACCACGTCTGGCTGGAGACAGTATTTCTTAACAGCAATGTATATAATGCAGCACAGCACCTTCTGGTCAATGTCTGCTTTCATTATCAATATATCACTCTCCACAGCTACACAGGAGGTAACAGAGATGTGACATAGTGGAGTTTTTCTCTCTAATGTTCATGATTCTGTGAGGTTTAATGATCAGCATGTTTATTTCCACAGTTAATCATTGAAACAATACATGATTTTTGGCATTGCAGCAGGAAGGAACATGTTTTATAGTCCTGATTACAGCCCACTCTACCCTGACCATCATGAATACTTTTTTGGAGGTTTAGGGATTTCATCTGAATGAATTTATTTAAAATGCATTCTTGCCCCTGAATTGTTCTATTATGAATGTTTGTGAACATATGGCAAATGAAATGAAAATTTTTAGTGTACTTTTGCTTTAAACTTCAATGAAAGGCTCAGCCAAGAGAAGTAACGTGGCTGTGCTATGCCAGGGAGACCAAATTCAGTTCAATCTCTTTGAGGGAAAAGTTCTACAAACCATAAACTAGCATTATCACTTGGAAAGGCCCCCACTGAGACTGAGGAGGTAGGTACAAGAAAGAATCATCCTTTTAGTGGCTCATTTTTTCCCTCCCTCTGCACTTTCAGCACTTTTAGACATTTTTGGGAAAAAAGCTGTAGCAGTAGAAATGATTCTGCTGGCAAGAATAAGAAACTGGAGAGAAGCAAAGACTATTTCTGTGCAAATGTCCCTTGCATTGTTTCTGTTCCAAGAACATTATTTATATAAAGACTCATAGAATCAAAGATTCACGGAGGCCTAGAATCTGGATGTTTTATCCCCAGAGACTAAGGTCCATGCACAGGCTTACTGAGGCACAGTACTGATTAAGAGCTTAAATGTTTATTTAAAACAGAAATGCCAAACCACTCCACCCTCAACCTTTCAAGCAACCTGGCTAACAATAAACTAGTTCTTCCGCAACAATGTTAGAGCAGAGGAGTAACTCAGGTTATACTGTAACTCAAAAGCAATACTACTAGAAAACTTAAAACACCTAGCACTGCATAAAGAAAAAAGCAGGACAAAATGTAAAGAGAATTAGCTACAGAAAACCATTCAAAGGCATTTCTACCGCCTCATCTTTTACTCCATCCCCCTTTGAACTGGTTTCTGTTTCCATACTTGTTTGGTGGGAAAAAAAAATCATATGGCTGTCTCAGGCACAATATGAGAAAGTGCAGACTGTCTCTAAGGCACAGAACTTAGATTCTCAGCCAGATTAATAGCAAATCTAGACTTCCTAAGGGAATATGCTAGAGAAAATGACCACAGCGTTCCACTGCTAGGGAAAGACTCCCCTGTGAACAAGACCAGGGCGCTCACCCACCCCCAGCACTCACTTTCACCCCACCTTCTCAGCAACGTGCCCATGTCCCTCAGCTCCACAGCAGAAGCAATCCTCATGATGAACACCCAAACTGACCTGGCCTCTCAGGCCTGCTGAGATGATGAGCATGAGGATACAGGGACATGACAGGCCAATCAGTCCTTAAGAAAATCAAAGTTGCATTTACATGCTGAACCAAAACCCACTGTCAGGGTTTACGGCAACCCCCGCAAGTCCCCAGAACTTGCAACTTTAATCAAAGTTTGGCTGCTTCCCTGATTTCAAGAAAAGGTTTCAGTGATTACATTAGTACTAATGTAATAGGCTTCCCAGAACTGAGAAAACAATGGGAACATCAAACCAAAGAAGATCCCATTAAACAGAGCTGCCTGTCCCCAGCAACGGGGTTCTCCCCGAGCATCAGCCTTTATGCCACCAGTTTTGGGGAAATGGCAAAATTTCCATTGCACAGGACCTCCCATAATGTTGAACAGATGATCAAACATTTTGGTCTGGGGAAAATGA